GGGTTCAAATCCAGCCCAGGCCCGCCAAACAATGACGGCTGCAACCAAAAAATAGCCAGGCGTTGTGGTGGGCGCCTGTGGTCCCAACTACTTGGGAGGCTGAGGCAGGAGACTCGCTTGAGCCCAGGAGTTGGAGGTTGCTGTAAGCTGAGATGCCACGGCACTCTACCCAGGAGGACAGCTTGAGGCTTCTGTCTCAAAAAACCACCAACAACAACAACAACAAAAAAACAATAACAGCTACAACAAAAAAAATAGCCAGGCGTTGTGGTGGGCCCCTGTATTCCCAGCTCTTTGGGAGGCTGAGGCAAGAGAACTGCCTAAGCCCAAGAGTTCGAGGTTGCTGTGAGCTGTGACACCACAGCACTCTACTGGGGGCGACATAGTGAGACTCTGTCTCAAAAAAAAAAAAAAAAAAAAATTCAGGTCTCAAACCAACAAAGACATTCCATAAGTTTCCTATTAGGCCCAGTAAGTTTAGCCTTCATGGGATACTATCAGGAATGTTAATCTATTCTATTACCGAATAGGTGTCAAAGCTGTCACTAAACTGCTCATGGCAGTTTGGAAAGCCCTGAAGGCACTGAAGAATTCCTCATAGTCCTCCCAGACCAAGCTCACAGTAAGAACCAGATTCTTTTGCCCTGGCCCTGTGGGACTCCCCCCCCCCACCCCCCCAAATGGCTGCTTATAGATAAGGCAGCATGCCAAGGCCCTATCCTCCCTGGGTGAGAGAGATTGGGTCAGATAGGCCCCACTTCCTCAGAAAGTACCTGTTTGCAGTGCCTGTTGTTTCCTCGCCTTGTATGAGTGCAGGGGCCTCAGTTGGACTGAATGAAGAACTCATGGACCCCTTCCGTGGTCAAGGCCCAGAGCCTTTGTTGTGCAGCCTTGGAGAGAACATGAGGCAGATAAGGTGCTGCCCTCCCTTACCTTTGCCACACCGAGAGGGCCTCCACTGTTCCACACCAGCCAAGAGGTGGCCTTGCATTATTACCAATGCTCGTTTCTCTATGCTCTCTTTCACGGTCCTACCACACACTCTGCAATCTTTGAGTCTGATGAGTGACCACTCCACTGTCACTGCAAGAAGGGCAGAAGTGGGCAAGAAAGTGAGACAAGTGAAGGCAGTACATAGGCATTCTCACTAAGGTAGGGACACCTGAAGTGCCTTTGCCATGACATGTACAGGTTGTCCTCAAATTTCAGGGGTATGGGGAGATCTTGGATAATTGGAATTTTAAGTTGGTTGGCATCTTGCTTTTAAGTATGATTTAGTTTCAGGTCAGGGAGTGATCCTTGGGGGAAGGTCTCTGATATGGAAATCTATATGCTCAGGGGTCTATTCAACTACTAATGGCTCTGACACAGTGGAAAGTCACTTGCTCCTGGAGAACTTCAGGCCATACCTCTGAAAGCATACATCAGTGGATGAGGTGCTGGGTGCAAAGGTGCTGTTCAGAACAGCTCTAAGTCATTGCCACCTATGCTTACAACTCAGAGTACAGATCTCAAGGATCCCATCATCCAATGTGGGCCCAAGTAAGGAATGAGGTCCTGGGCAGGGACAATGGGGCTTGCATTAGTTTGCTAGGGTTAACATAACAAATGCCACAGAAATTAATTTTCTCACCATTCTGAAGAGTAGAAGTCCAAGATCAAGGTATTGAGGCATCTTTCATTGGTTTGTAGGTAGTTGTACTGCTGTGTTCTAATCTCTTTTTATAAGAACACCAGTCATTCTGGATTAGGGCCTTTCTAATGCCCATGGGTTTTTTTTTTTTTGAGATATAATCTCAAGCTGTCATCCTGGGTAGAGTGCTGTGATGTTACAGCTCACAGCAACCTCAAACTCTTGGGCTTAAGCTATTTTCTTGCCTCATTTTCCCAAGTAACTGGAACTACAGGTGCCTGCCACAATGCCAGGCTATTTTTTTGTTTTTTGTTGCAGTTGTCATTGTTTTAGCTGGCCAGGGTTGGGTTTGAACCTCCCAGCCTCAGTGTATGTGGCCAGCGCCCTGCCCACTGATCTATGGGCACCGCCCTAAAGACTATGTTTTAACTTATTTACTTTTTGTAGCGACAGGGTCTTGCTATATTGCCCAGGCTAGTCTTGAACTTTAAGCCTCTAGCAATTCTCCTGCCTCTGCCTCACAAAGTGCTGGGGTTAGAGGCAGGAGCTACTGTGCCTGGCCTTAATTACCTCTTTAAAGTTCCTGTCTCCAAATAGATTCTGAAGTACTGGGGTAGGGCTTGAACATATGAATCTAGTGGTGTGGGGGGAATGGGTGCACAATTCAGTCGGTTATGCAGTTTATTCAGAAAGTCTCTGAGAGACTGCACCTAAAGACTGTGGGCCCTCATGTCAGGAATGGCCACGGTCCACACTGCCCTCTTGTGTTTTTTACACTCCTTTTAAGGGCAAAAATTATTCAAAAGCATTTCTGCTTCAGTTTCTATTCCCAAGTCTTGTAACGTTTTTCTCTGTAACTGTGCTAAGACAAAACAAAAATAACTGTTTCCAGGAACATATAAGTGAAGATCAGAGTTTAGAGTCTTGTGTAGTCTGAGCTCTACAATATACGGGCCTACTTCCCTAATTGAAATCTCAGTCCTAAAAGAGACTAAGAAGCCTTAGACTTCCATTCTAACTAGGTACAAGAATTGTCCCTCTGACCCAGCTTCAAGTCCGCTCTCACAGCAGTTGGGGTGCACAGATATGAGCGGGGGAGGAGAGGGATACTTTGCCTTCCACTGATTGGTTCATTGCTGCCCAGTAACTTCAACTCAGAGAGCCTAGCGGTGGGTACTTAAGACCGACGTCTTTTTCTCAAAATGTCCTCTAGAAAACAAGGCAAACGGAGCTGTGAATCCCCTCACTAGAACGAGGACCGCCCAGCTCTGCGTAACGACCGACCCAGCCTGGCCGTGCCGGGACAGCGAGTATAGAGTATCCCTTAGTGACTCCGACCTCGGCTCACACTCCCGTATGCCCTTCCTGCCACTTGCGCCCTGCCCTCCAGTCCGCAAATTACAATTTCATCCAATGGGGCCCAGAAAAGGCAGACAGCCGCAGCCGGCGAGTCAGCCCCGCCCGAGAAGGAAGCAGCAACCCCGCCAGCCCACAAAAGCAAGTCGACTCAACTCTGCAAAACTCGAAATGGCCCCGCGGGGGCGAACTAGACCCGACAGCCGACCCTCCCTCTTCGCTGAGCGCCTAACCAGGGCTTTCCCGGCTGTGGCGCCGGAAGAACGCAGAGGGCAAGCGGTACAGCTTCTTCCCAAGTGCTGCTGTGGGTGGCTCTGAAAAGAGCCTTTGGATTTGATGGAACCTGAAACCGAGCGCGCATGCACTTCTTAAGCCCGCTCCCCGCGGATGCGGCGGGCCAGCTGGATGTCCTTGGGCATAATAGTCACTCGCTTGGCGTGGATGGCACACAGGTTCGTGTCCTCGAACAACCCCACCAGGTAGGCCTCGCTCGCCTCCTGCAGCGCCATCACGGCCGAGCTCTGGAAGCGCAGGTCGGTCTTAAAGTCCTGCGCGATCTCGCGCACCAGCCGCTGGAAGGGCAGCTTGCGGATCAGCAGCTCGGTGGATTTCTGGTACCGCCGGATCTCCCGCAGGGCCACGGTGCCCGGCCGGTAACGGTGCGGCTTCTTCACGCCGCCCGTGGCCGGGGCACTCTTGCGGGCCGCCTTAGTGGCCAGCTGCTTCCTCGGGGCCTTGCCACCGGTCGACTTACGGGCGGTCTGTTTCGTACGGGCCATAGCAAATCAAAACACGAGCCTAACAACCCAGCGGCAGGGGGAGAAACGAGGTCCCGGGCCGCGGCTTGCGGTCTTTATAGACACAGCCTTTTCGCGATTGGGCGGAACAATAATTGAAAGTCCCGCGCTGGCTGTCCATTGGCTGTGACGTTGCCTGTCCTAGCGTCACCGGTTGGCTTGGGCAGAATCCTCTCTAACCCCGCCTACCCGCCTCTCTGCTTGCCAGTTGGCCAACAGTTTTCCAACCTTGTTTTTTCCTCATTCTTTCGGGGTGGAAGTCATTTTCGATCGCAGCTTTGTCAGATTGTTCCTCCCGGCCCTTCACTTCCTTACAACACGCTGTATAGCCGCCAATTTGAACTTCGACCTTCCGTGTGTGTCCTCCCAGCCCAGTTGCTTCTTGGCAGATCCCTTTCCGCCCGTTCGGCGCTTTTCTGAAGGGGGTGGGGGGTGGGGTGCAAGATTCCGCCTCTGAAAACTTAAAGAGGGGAATCTGCATCTCCGCTGCGAAGGCGCTTGAAGGTTTAGGAAGAAAAAAAAAAAAAAAAAGATAAAAAGACTAAGGACTAAGCCAGGACTTGAGCCAAGACCCAGCTCCGCTACGCTCCCGAAAACTGCTCGTTCTCTTATCGATGGGGGATGGGGCGTGCGGTGGCGATAGCGAATACGCACCCCCACCCCCCAGTGCTACACCTCGTCCAAATCCCGGGCAAAAGGCTGCGGGAACAACTGAGGGCTTGACAGCGCTAGTGTTCGCGACTGAGTGGACCACGGGCGTCCTAGATGTTGGGGACCTCCACCTACGCTACTAAGACTCTGCACTCAGTGATGTGTAGGCACACCCCAGGCGAGAAGCGCTTGGGAGCCAAGGGACAAATGGCACTCGGGCACTCGCCCCGCCCACACCTCCCCTTATCTCGGGTTAGGCATTTACTGAGAAAGGTGGACGCGAGACTAGACATTGTAACAGCTCTTTATTTGAAAGAGGGGGTGGCTCTGAAAAGAGCCTTTGATTTCACGGCTACGCCTATCCGAGACGAGGGCTGGGCTGAGCTGAGCTTCCAGAAGGACGCAGGCCTCACTTGCCCTTTGCCTTGTGGTGACTCTCAGTCTTCTTAGGGAGCAAGACGGCCTGGATGTTAGGTAAGACGCCGCCCTGGGCGATGGTGACTTTGCCCAACAGCTTGTTCAGCTCCTCGTCGTTGCGGATGGCCAGCTGGAGGTGGCGGGGGATGATGCGCGTCTTCTTGTTGTCCCGGGCCGCGTTACCGGCCAACTCCAGGATTTCCGCCGTCAGGTACTCGAGGACCGCCGCCATATAGACGGGCGCGCCGGCCCCAACCCGCTCGGCGTAGTTGCCTTTGCGCAGCAAGCGGTGCACTCGCCCCACTGGGAACTGAAGGCCAGCGCGGGATGACCGCGACTTGGCCTTAGCGCGAGCTTTGCCTCCTTGCTTGCCACGACCAGACATGATAGCTACAGTCACTGCGAGCAGCCCTAGCCTGCCGACCGAGAAAGTCGCCGCGGACGGCGCTGCTTCACCCTTTTATAGGCAGAGCGGCGATTGTCCACGGAGCACTTTGATTGGCTAAAGCATAGTTTTGTCCCGATGGCCAATAGGATACCTCAGCCGGAATCCAGCTATTTACATAATCTCGTCGCTCTCGCTTTGGCGCCGCCGGAAACGCGCCAATCACAGCGCGGCAGAGTCGGAACCTTAATTTGCTTACAGCCCCTATAAGTACAACAGTCGCTTCCGGTAGACCCGGCCCTACCGCTGCGTTTGCGTTCTTGAAAGTCTTTGCCTCTTGTCCTTGTCACTATGCCTGAGCCGGCGAAGTCCGCTCCGGCTCCCAAGAAGGGGTCCAAGAAAGCCGTCACCAAAGCCCAGAAAAAGGATGGTAAGAAGCGCAAGCGCAGCCGCAAAGAGAGCTATTCCATCTACGTGTACAAGGTGCTGAAGCAGGTCCACCCCGACACCGGCATCTCCTCCAAGGCCATGGGCATCATGAACTCCTTCGTCAACGACATCTTCGAGCGCATCGCCGGGGAGGCGTCCCGCCTGGCCCATTACAACAAGCGCTCCACCATCACGTCCCGCGAGATCCAGACGGCCGTGCGCCTGCTGCTGCCCGGCGAGCTGGCCAAGCACGCCGTGTCCGAGGGCACCAAGGCGGTCACCAAGTACACCAGCTCCAAGTGAGCCCCTGCTGGGACGCGGCGCTCGCGCGAGTTGGAGCTGCCGGCCGCTTGACTCCAAAGGCTCTTTTCAGAGCCACCTATCTCTTCCCTGAAAGAAGCTGTCCCGTGTTGTTCCTCCCACTCACTCTCGGCATCCAGGTTCAGGTTAAGAAAGTTAACTGGACCAGGTACAAGTATCCATAGTTCATTCCTTGAAGTACTGGTGTAGATATGCTTACTTGGGTTTATGGATGAATCTTCTTCCACAGACGGCGCGTGGGGGCGGGGGTGCGTGTGTCCACAGAAGATTGCTCTTGTAGTTGACTTTAGCTTGGCCTCACCGGTAATGTGTGCAGTATAGTATTTTCATAGGGAAATGTGCTAATTCCCTTAGATGTTTGTGCAATATAAAGTTGGATGAACAGAGGTATATAATTGGGGGGGGGTTCCTTACTAAATCATAACTACATTTATGGGGTACAATGTGATGATTTGATATGCAACGTGGAATGAATGCTTAAACAATCCAGCGGGTTTTGCTGGGGAAATGGTGGTGAAACCTAACTTTTTGCATTATGTGCTTCTGAGGTGGGTACTAACAGTAATTCAACTTGTATGCATTTGGTACTGGGAAATTTCAAAATTGGCAAAATTGGATGTCCTTGGTTCACAAGCACGTGCCTACTTACCCGAAGATTTCTTCAGTGTCGTGTTGGGAGATTTTCATACCTAGGAATGAACCAGTAAGACTGGTGTCATCTAGACCTACTTCACATTCCCTAAATCTGCCTAATGTAATTTACCTAGTGAGAATGCCTTGGAATTAACTCAGAAAAGTTTGTTCAAGTATTACTTTTATACAATAGCAATAAAACGTCAGTAATTTTTTACAGTTAGGAATGCTCGAGGAGCAGAAAGACCCCAAATATAGTGCAACGGAAGTTGATTTAAGATTTTGGGATTTTTTTCCCATTATTTTGGGAGCACTTGGATTTCTAGAGGTGGGAATTGGAATAAAGATCATGCTGGTTGCTCCTACGTTGACCACAGTAGAAGCAAGGACCCTGGTTAGGAGGTTTTTGCTGTGTGGACTAGAACTGTGATTCTTTTCCTTTGTTTATTTATTTTATTTATTTATTTTTTTGAGACAGTCTCATTGTGTAGCCCTTGGTAGAATGCTGTGGCATCACAGCTCACAGCAACTTCCAACTCTTGGGCTTAAGCAATTCTCTTGCCTCAGCCTCCCAAGTAGCTTGGACTACTGTCATTGTTTGGCAGGCCCAGGCCAGGTTCAAACCTGCCAGCCCCAGTGTGTGTGGCTGGCACACTAACTGCTGATCTACAGGTGCCAAGCCTTGAACGGTGATTCTTAATGTCTGGTGTGCACATGAGTAGCAATGTTATTTGAGAATTTATTAAAAATCTCATGGCCCCAGTAATTTAGTGTTAAGCTCTCAGGGTGATTCTGATTAATTTAGTGTGAGAACCACTAGATATAGACATTTCGCATTGGAGTGCAGTGGTTGTAATGGAAACAAATGTTGGATTGTTTCAGCAATAGGTCTTGCTGAATAGAATTAGGTAAGAATGGAACCCCTAGGTATTTGGCTTGAGCAGTTGAGTAGTTGATAGATAATGGTACTTGTAGTTTGGTTGGAATACTGAGAGAAGGTATTGGTTGGGGCACTGAGCAGTGATCCAGAGTTCTGATTTAATTTTGAGACGCTGATATGTAGGTGGATGTGTGCATTTGGCAGTTTGAGAAATGTATCTGGGGCTCAGTGAAGACACTACAGAATTATGGGGCTCAGAGAAGACAATACAAAATTGGCTTTGCATACTATTTTTAACACAAAGCAGTGGGAATGATGGGTGTGGTAGTGGATATTGACTATTAAATGTAGCATTTATTTTTGTGTTTGTAATAGTACTGCTACATGTGCTTCTCAGAAAGTAGCTTCTACTCACAATTTTTAGGATTGGCCTGATTAGTTTAAATGTTCTCCCAATTACTTTCCCACTGTGATTTGTTCAGGAATGTAGACCTATCTAATTGGTATTTTAACATTTCAGGAATTGAACCAAGTAACCAAGCAGGGGCAGGGGAGTGTAGAATGCTGTTAGCTTTTGAGAAAGATGTTTCTTTGTTTTCAAGAGGCAGAGCAACAGGATGGGGTGGTCTGTGGGTATGAAGGTAAGAATGATTATAGACAATATGCAAAGGGAGGACAGTACAGTATGGGGGAACCAGAGAACTGAGCCGTTCCTGGAGTTTTAGCCAAGCTTAGAGCCCTGCCTGCTGTACCTTCAGATTCAAATTACACCAATTTGTCTGACAGACTTAAATCAGTTTAAATCTTGAAATATTTCAGGAATAATAAATCATTTCTCGGGATAAAAGGAAAAAGGATAGACCTTACTGTCAAAGAAGTCAAAGAATAGATAAAGACAAATAGAGGTACTCAAAGTACACATTGGGATCAACTATCCAATTGCTAAAAGTAATATTTGACTAGTGCCAAAAATTAATATTACCATCATAAAAAGAGTGGCAGGGATAAAAACTTAAAATTTCAGGCCAGGTGCCGGGGCTCACCCTGTAATCCAGTGCTCTGGGAGGCCAAGGTGTGTGAATCACTTCAGCTCAGGAGTTGGGACCAGCCTGAGCAAGAGGGAGAGCCTGTCTCTACTAAAAATAGAAAAACTAGCTGAATGCTGTGGCAGACACCTGTAGTTCCAGTTATTCAGGAGGCTGAAGCAGGGGGATTGCTTGAGCCTGAGAGTTTGAGGTTGTTCTGAGCTATAATGCCACAACACTCTAGCCTGGGCAGCAAAGTGAGACTGTCTCGAACAAAAAATTTAAACTAAATTATGTAAATGTATTAAAAATTTTAGTAGTTTGTCGGGAGCCAAATGACGCCAGATGGCCGCCCATCCCCACTGTCTGGAGTATGCTAACCTTTATCAGATAAGGAGCTGTTCTTCCCAGAGAAGCCATAAAATGTTTCAGACACATCGTTTACATTCCCAGCAGGAGATTGATGCAAGCTCTAACTCCTGCATTCCTCTGCCCCCCACCTCTTGTCTTCTCTGAATGCTATAAAAACTGATCTGTTACCCCCATTAAATGAGACCTTGACAAATCTGCTTGGTCTCCCTTCCTTTTTTCTTGCCTATTCTCTTTACAGGCTGGGTCCCCCTCGCCCCCCGAATAACCGTGTCCCGCAGGACGGGACAGTAGTTGTGTTAAAGTTTCCTAGGGCTACTTTTGCAAATTAACTATATGGCTTAATAAAACAACAGATGTTTTATTCTCTAGTGGTTCTAGACCACCTTTTTTCAACCTTTTTTTATCTCACAGCACACATGAACCTATAGTTAAATTTTCGAGGCACACTTACGTTAATCAAAAAAAAAAGGGAAATAAACAGTAAAAAGATATAATACTTCCTGTGCTTCGGACCTTCATTCAAAAATAATTCAACCTAAGATCCTCTCAGGGCACACCAGTTGAAAATCACTGCTGTAGAAACTAGAAAGGTGCTGGCAGGGCCGGGCTCTTTCCAAAGACACTTCTAAGGCCTTTTTTTTTTTTTTGTATCTTTCAGTGCCTGGTAGCCCCAGTCTTCTTCTGTGTATCTGTTATTATAACAATCATCCTGAATTATGGCCTGCCCGCATGACCTCATTTTATCTTGATTACATCTGCAAAGACCTTATTCCACATAAGGCAAAATTCTAAGACAGTGGGGGTTAGACTTTAATACATCTTTGTGGACACAATTCAACCCATAATACTAGGCAACAGTTGTGGTGGCTGAATATGGCCCCCAAATATGTCTACATTTTAATCTCCAGAATTTGTGATTATTAAGTACCTTACTATGTAATTCTGAGATTGAGAGATGATCTGGGCAGGCTCTATCTCTTTTCCTTAAAGCAGAAGAAAGTAATAGAAGTAGAGATTTGAAGATGGTAGGAAGTTGACTTTGAAAATGGGAGTCAAAGGGGTGGGGCGCAGTGGCTCAGCCAGTAATCCTGGCAGTTGGGAGGCTGAGATGAGTGGATTGCCTAGCTAGCTCTCGGGTTCAAGACCAGCCTGAGCCAGAGCAAGACATAGTCTCTAAAAATAGCTGAAAGTTGTGGTGGGTGCCTATAGTCTCATTTGATTGGGAGGCTGAGGCAAGAGAATCGCTTAAGCCCAGGAGTTTGAGGTTGCTGTGGGCTGTGACTCCACAACACTCTACCAAGGGTGACAAGTGAGTCTCTCAAACAAAAGGAAAAAGAAAAGGGACAATAACACAAGAAGAACCCATGTAGAAGCTGAAAAACTATGTAAATAAACTCAATGAAAGCCCTACCTAGTGGAACCAATTTTGTATTTCTGACCTCAAGAATTGTAATCAAGAATTGTAATTAAGGCTTGGCACCTGTGGCTGAAGTGGCTAGGTCACCAACCACAATACACCCAGGTGGTGGGTTGGAATCCAGCCAGGGCCCACCAAGCAACAATGACGGCTGCAACCAAAAAATAGCCAGGCGTTGTGGTGGGTGCCTGTGGTCCCAGCTACTTGGGAGGCTGAGGCAAGAGACTCACTTGAGCCCAGAAGTTGGAGGTTGCTGTGCTCTGTGATGCTACGGCAAGCTACCCAGGGGGACAGCTTGAGGCTCTGTCTCAAAAAAAAAAAAAAAAGAACAAATAAGAGTTTGTTAAAACCATCAAGATTGTAGTATTTTGTTACTGAAACCCTAGGAAATGAATAGAACAGTATACAGGATTTTTTTGACAGTTGGGGAAATTTACATACAGTGTATATTGTCATTATTATTAATATTTCTTGGGTACAATAATGGTTTTGTAGCTTTTTCCCTTGTACCTTATAGGAGGAATAGAAATTTTCTTCTTGTCCACTACCAAAGGAATAAATACTTTTAAGGCTGAGTAGTTTTAACAATGAGCTGGTGGGTAGTCTCTGGAGGACATTCTGTAACATAATTAGCAGGTCTGGGCTCTTACAGTCCTTGAGCATCTTTCCTCCTTACCCTTACCCATAAGATGGTATCCACAATTCCCCACAGCTCTGGTTTGATACTAACATCTGAGTAAAAAACGTTTACTAGCCGCAACACAAACACAAAGCAGTCTTTTTGTATCACTTTATTCTTATGGTGTTAACCGTTTATTCACTGCTCCTGGAAGGAACAAAACTGGGATTAAGAGCCATTGAGCTAAAAATTACCTCAACCACAAACAGAGATATTCAGGTAGAGACAAAAGTTTTATTATAGGTCCCAAGGCATGGCCTCAGAGTATTACAAAGTTTTGTGCACTGAGTAAGAACTGCAGTTACTTCACAGTACTGGGGACATCCAATTGCTTTAGGATAACCACTGCATATCACTCACCCTCTATTGATCAGCATACACTGCATACACTTTTGTTTTGAAAAAGACAAATTCTATACAAACGAAAATACACTCTAAGCTAGCTCTCCACTAAGCCACAAAATGTGGCTGTGATCCTTTCCTAACACCCCTAGGCTGACATTGCTCACCTGAGAAATAAGGTGAGGTGATACAGCAAAGGCCCTTAGTAGGAATTCTGGGAAGCAGATAGAAGATAGGCCACTTACCTATAAAACAACTTACGATCCAAGGTAAAGTAAAAATCAGGTTCCCTACACGACACTGAAGAAATCTTCGGGTAAGTAGGCACGTGCTTGTGAACCAAGGACATCCAATTTTGCCAATTTTGAAATTTCCCAGTACCAAATGCATACAAGTTGAATTACTGTTAGTACCCACCTCAGAAGCACATAATGCAAAAAGTTAGGTTTCACCACCATTTCCCCAGCAAAACCCGCTGGATTGTTTAAGCATTCATTCCACGTTGCATATCAAATCATCACATTGTACCCCATAAATGTAGTTATGATTTAGTAAGGAACCCCCCCCCAATTATATACCTCTGTTCATCCAACTTTATATTGCACAAACATCTAAGGGAATTAGCACATTTCCCTATGAAAATACTATACTGCACACATTACCGGTGAGGCCAAGCTAAAGTCAACTACAAGAGCAATCTTCTGTGGACACACGCACCCCCGCCCCCACGCGCCGTCTGTGGAAGAAGATTCATCCATAAACCCAAGTAAGCATATCTACACCAGTACTTCAAGGAATGAACTATGGATACTTGTACCTGGTCCAGTTAACTTTCTTAACCTGAACCTGGATGCCGAGAGTGAGTGGGAGGAACAACACGGGACAGCTTCTTTCAGGGAAGAGATAGGTGGCTCTGAAAAGAGCCTTTGGAGTCAAGCGGCCGGCAGCTCCAACTCGCGCGAGCGCCGCGTCCCAGCAGGGGCTCACTTGGAGCTGGTGTACTTGGTGACCGCCTTGGTGCCCTCGGACACGGCGTGCTTGGCCAGCTCGCCGGGCAGCAGCAGGCGCACGGCCGTCTGGATCTCGCGGGACGTGATGGTGGAGCGCTTGTTGTAATGGGCCAGGCGGGACGCCTCCCCGGCGATGCGCTCGAAGATGTCGTTGACGAAGGAGTTCATGATGCCCATGGCCTTGGAGGAGATGCCGGTGTCGGGGTGGACCTGCTTCAGCACCTTGTACACGTAGATGGAATAGCTCTCTTTGCGGCTGCGCTTGCGCTTCTTACCATCCTTTTTCTGGGCTTTGGTGACGGCTTTCTTGGACCCCTTCTTGGGAGCCGGAGCGGACTTCGCCGGCTCAGGCATAGTGACAAGGACAAGAGGCAAAGACTTTCAAGAACGCAAACGCAGCGGTAGGGCCGGGTCTACCGGAAGCGACTGTTGTACTTATAGGGGCTGTAAGCAAATTAAGGTTCCGACTCTGCCGCGCTGTGATTGGCGCGTTTCCGGCGGCGCCAAAGCGAGAGCGACGAGATTATGTAAATAGCTGGATTCCGGCTGAGGTATCCTATTGGCCATCGGGACAAAACTATGCTTTAGCCAATCAAAGTGCTCCGTGGACAATCGCCGCTCTGCCTATAAAAGGGTGAAGCAGCGCCGTCCGCGGCGACTTTCTCGGTCGGCAGGCTAGGGCTGCTCGCAGTGACTGTAGCTATCATGTCTGGTCGTGGCAAGCAAGGAGGCAAAGCTCGCGCTAAGGCCAAGTCGCGGTCATCCCGCGCTGGCCTTCAGTTCCCAGTGGGGCGAGTGCACCGCTTGCTGCGCAAAGGCAACTACGCCGAGCGGGTTGGGGCCGGCGCGCCCGTCTATATGGCGGCGGTCCTCGAGTACCTGACGGCGGAAATCCTGGAGTTGGCCGGTAACGCGGCCCGGGACAACAAGAAGACGCGCATCATCCCCCGCCACCTCCAGCTGGCCATCCGCAACGACGAGGAGCTGAACAAGCTGTTGGGCAAAGTCACCATCGCCCAGGGCGGCGTCTTACCTAACATCCAGGCCGTCTTGCTCCCTAAGAAGACTGAGAGTCACCACAAGGCAAAGGGCAAGTGAGGCCTGCGTCCTTCTGGAAGCTCAGCTCAGCCCAGCCCTCGTCTCGGATAGGCGTAGCCGTGAAATCAAAGGCTCTTTTCAGAGCCACCCCCTCTTTCAAATAAAGAGCTGTTACAATGTCTAGTCTCGCGTCCACCTTTCTCAGTAAATGCCTAACCCGAGATAAGGGGAGGTGTGGGCGGGGCGAGTGCCCGAGTGCCATTTGTCCCTTGGCTCCCAAGCGCTTCTCGCCTGGGGTGTGCCTACACATCACTGAGTGCAGAGTCTTAGTAGCGTAGGTGGAGGTCCCCAACATCTAGGACGCCCGTGGTCCACTCAGTCGCGAACACTAGCGCTGTCAAGCCCTCAGTTGTTCCCGCAGCCTTTTGCCCGGGATTTGGACGAGGTGTAGCACTGGGGGGTGGGGGTGCGTATTCGCTATCGCCACCGCACGCCCCATCCCCCATCGATAAGAGAACGAGCAGTTTTCGGGAGCGTAGCGGAGCTGGGTCTTGGCTCAAGTCCTGGCTTAGTCCTTAGTCTTTTTATCTTTTTTTTTTTTTTTTTCTTCCTAAACCTTCAAGCGCCTTCGCAGCGGAGATGCAGATTCCCCTCTTTAAGTTTTCAGAGGCGGAATCTTGCACCCCACCCCCCACCCCCTTCAGAAAAGCGCCGAACGGGCGGAAAGGGATCTGCCAAGAAGCAACTGGGCTGGGAGGACACACACGGAAGGTCGAAGTTCAAATTGGCGGCTATACAGCGTGTTGTAAGGAAGTGAAGGGCCGGGAGGAACAATCTGACAAAGCTGCGATCGAAAATGACTTCCACCCCGAAAGAATGAGGAAAAAACAAGGTTGGAAAACTGTTGGCCAACTGGCAAGCAGAGAGGCGGGTAGGCGGGGTTAGAGAGGATTCTGCCCAAGCCAACCGGTGACGCTAGGACAGGCAACGTCACAGCCAATGGACAGCCAGCGCGGGACTTTCAATTATTGTTCCGCCCAATCGCGAAAAGGCTGTGTCTATAAAGACCGCAAGCCGCGGCCCGGGACCTCGTTTCTCCCCCTGCCGCTGGGTTGTTAGGCTCGTGTTTTGATTTGCTATGGCCCGTACGAAACAGACCGCCCGTAAGTCGACCGGTGGCAAGGCCCCGAGGAAGCAGCTGGCCACTAAGGCGGCCCGCAAGAGTGCCCCGGCCACGGGCGGCGTGAAGAAGCCGCACCGTTACCGGCCGGGCACCGTGGCCCTGCGGGAGATCCGGCGGTACCAGAAATCCACCGAGCTGCTGATCCGCAAGCTGCCCTTCCAGCGGCTGGTGCGCGAGATCGCGCAGGACTTTAAGACCGACCTGCGCTTCCAGAGCTCGGCCGTGATGGCGCTGCAGGAGGCGAGCGAGGCCTACCTGGTGGGGTTGTTCGAGGACACGAACCTGTGTGCCATCCACGCCAAGCGAGTGACTATTATGCCCAAGGACATCCAGCTGGCCCGCCGCATCCGCGGGGAGCGGGCTTAAGAAGTGCATGCGCGCTCGGTTTCAGGTTCCATCAAATCCAAAGGCTCTTTTCAGAGCCACCCACAGCAGCACTTGGGAAGAAGCTGTACCGCTTGCCCTCTGCGTTCTTCCGGCGCCACAGCCGGGAAAGCCCTGGTTAGGCGCTCAGCGAAGAGGGAGGGTCGGCTGTCGGGTCTAGTTCGCCCCCGCGGGGCCATTTCGAGTTTTGCAGAGTTGAGTCGACTTGCTTTTGTGGGCTGGCGGGGTTGCTGCTTCCTTCTCGGGCGGGGCTGACTCGCCGGCTGCGGCTGTCTGCCTTTTCTGGGCCCCATTGGATGAAATTGTAATTTGCGGACTGGAGGGCAGGGCGCAAGTGGCAGGAAGGGCATACGGGAGTGTGAGCCGAGGTCGGAGTCACTAAGGGATACTCTATACTCGCTGTCCCGGCACGGCCAGGCTGGGTCGGTCGTTACGCAGAGCTGGGCGGTCCTCGTTCTAGTGAGGGGATTCACAGCTCCGTTTGCCTTGTTTTCTAGAGGACATTTTGAGAAAAAGACGTCGGTCTTAAGTACCCACCGCTAGGCTCTCTGAGTTGAAGTTACTGGGCAGCAATGAACCAATCAGTGGAAGGCAAAGTATCCCTCTCCTCCCCCGCTCATATCTGTGCACCCCAACTGCTGTGAGAGCGGACTTGAAGCTGGGTCAGAGGGACAATTCTTGTACCTAGTTAGAATGGAAGTCTAAGGCTTCTTAGTCTCTTTTAGGACTGAGATTTCAATTAGGGAAGTAGGCCCGTATATTGTAGAGCTCAGACTACACAAGACTCTAAACTCTGATCTTCACTTATATGTTCCTGGAAACAGTTATTTTTGTTTTGTCTTAGCACAGTTACAGAGAAAAACGTTACAAGACTTGGGAATAGAAACTGAAGCAGAAATGCTTTTGAATAATTTTTGCCCTTAAAAGGAGTGTAAAAAACACAAGAGGGCAGTGTGGACCGTGGCCATTCCTGACATGAGGGCCCACAGTCTTTAGGTGCAGTCTCTCAGAGACTTTCTGAATAAACTGCATAACCGACTGAATTGTGCACCCATTCCCCCCACACCACTAGATTCATATGTTCAAGCCCTACCCCAGTACTTCAGAATCTATTTGGAGACAGGAACTTTAAAGAGGTAATTAAGGCCAGGCACAGTAGCTCCTGCCTCTAACCCCAGCACTTTGTGAGGCAGAGGCAGGAGAATTGCTAGAGGCTTAAAGTTCAAGACTAGCCTGGGCAATATAGCAAGACCCTGTCGCTACAAAAAGTAAATAAGTTAAAACATAGTCTTTAGGGCGGTGCCCATAGATCAGTGGGCAGGGCGCTGGCCACATACACTGAGGCTGGGAGGTTCAAACCCAACCCTGGCCAGCTAAAACAATGACAACTGCAACAAAAAACAAAAAAATAGCCTGGCATTGTGGCAGGCACCTGTAGTTCCAGTTACTTGGGAAAATGAGGCAAGAAAATAGCTTAAGCCCAAGAGTTTGAGGTTGCTGTGAGCTGTAACATCACAGCACTCTACCCAGGATGACAGCTTGAGATTATATCTCAAAAAAAAAAAAACCCATGGGCATTAGAAAGGCCCTAATCCAGAATGACTGGTGTTCTTATAAAAAGAGATTAGAACACAGCAGTACAACTACCTACAAACCAATGAAAGATGCCTCAATACCTTGATCTTGGACTTCTACTCTTCAGAATGGTGAGAAAATTAATTTCTGTGGCATTTGTTATGTTAACCCTAGCAAACTAATGCAAGCCCCATTGTCCCTGCCCAGGACCTCATTCCTTACTTGGGCCCACATTGGATGATGGGATCCTTGAGATCTGTACTCTGAGTTGTAAGCATAGGTGGCAATGACTTAGAGCTGTTCTGAACAGCACCTTTGCACCCAGCACCTCATCCACTGATGTATGCTTTCAGAGGTATGGCCTGAAGTTCTCCAGGAGCAAGTGACTTTCCACTGTGTCAGAGCCATTAGTAGTTGAATAGACCCCTGAGCATATAGATTTCCATATCAGAGACCTTCCCCCAAGGATCACTCCCTGACCTGAAACTAAATCATACTTAAAAGCAAGATGCCAACCAACTTAAAATTCCAATTATCCAAGATCTCCCCATACCCCTGAAATTTGAGGACAACCTGTACATGTCATGGCAAAGGCACTTCAGGTGTCCCTACCTTAGTGAGAATGCCTATGTACTGCCTTCACTTGTCTCACTTTCTTGCCCACTTCTGCCCTTCTTGCAGTGACAGTGGAGTGGTCACTCATCAGACTCAAAGATTGCAGAGTGTGTGGTAGGACCGTGAAAGAGAGCATAGAGAAACGAGCATTGGTAATAATGCAAGGCCACCTCTTGGCTGGTGTGGAACAGTGGAGGCCCTCTCGGTGTGGCAAAGGTAAGGGAGGGCAGCACCTTATCTGCCTCATGTTCTCTCCAAGGCTGCACAACAAAGGCTCTGGGCCTTGACCACGGAAGGGGTCCATGAGTTCTTCATTCAGTCCAACTGAGGCCCCTGCACTCATACAAGGCGAGGAAACAACAGGCACTGCAAACAGGTACTTTCTGAGGAAGTGGGGCCTATCTGACCCAATCTCTCTCACCCAGGGAGGATAGGGCCTTGGCATGCTGCCTTATCTATAAGCAGCCATTTGGGGGGGTGGGGGGGGGGAGTCCCACAGGGCCAGGGCAAAAGAATCTGGTTCTTACTGTGAGCTTGGTCTGGGAGGACTATGAGGAATTCTTCAGTGCCTTCAGGGCTTTCCAAACTGCCATGAGCAGTTTAGTGACAGCTTTGACACCT